ATATTAAATTATGTGTTCAAATATATAATTTATTGGAACTAACCTGGAAAAATAAATATGAAAGTCAATTAAAATATATTTATTTATTTTTTATTTTATTTAACCTTTATTTTAACAAGCAAAACATTAAAAACATTTTCTTATTTACAACATTGATATAAATATAAGACAGGAGATAAAGTTCTCCTTTTTTAATTTAATTAGTGCATTTTAAGTGTATTTATTTAGTGGTTCATATAATTCTGCTTTTATTAAATTATGTCAGTGTTGGTGCTCCATACTGCAGAAGCCTGATAATCATCTATTCATTCRGGTGTGTTGGAGCAGAAGAACCAGTAGAACATGCAGGACTGCAGACCTCCAGGACCAGGACTGACCAGGCCTGGTTTAAATCCTTCAGTTGGGTCTTCATAAAGTGGAGCTGCAGCTTTGCTCTGAACTTTACCAGCTCCTCTTTCAACACTTTCCTGCTGTTTGTCTCAAAGCAGCTCRTTTTGTTGCTGTTCCTTTAAGATGCTTCAAGCCCCGCCCCCTCCAGCTTCCAGACCGGTCCACTCCGGTTTGAGAGATGGGGCTTTATGTGTTCTAGCATACAGAAATGTTTTATTTACAGTTTAATTAAAATATGTTGGAGTCTGAGCCAGAACCAGAGAATTAAGACGAGGAAACTGTAGTTGTTAAGTCCAGAGCTGTAAAGTAACTAAATACAAATACTCTGTTACTGTACTTCAGTAGAATTTTTGTGTATCTGTACTTTACTTGAGAAAGTATTTTTCAGCCTACTTTTTACTTCTTACATTTTTAAAAAGACAAGAAGTACAAAGTTGTAACTTTTATTTCATTTCTGCTTGTTTTCATTGCAGCTTGTTRTTGTAAAAAATAAAAACTATCCATATAAACTGAGCCTCCTAGATAGAGTGAATTTAACTGTGGTTGAATGAGAAGTATAAATATATAAAACTCTGATAGTGTATTAGTTTGTACACAAACAAATCATGTCACACTCCAGCAGGACAGAATCATTCAAATAAAAGGACTGTACTTAAGAAGTATTTGTATTTCATAATCTAAGGAAAGTATTCGACACCACTGATCACAGTATTCTTCTTGAAAAGTTAAATAAATATGGTATAAGACGACCAACATTACAGTGGGTATCTACTTATC